ATACCATTCTTTTTCCAAAACAACTTGGGGCCTGTTGTGATTGCTGTGTAAGGGATGGCAGTATTTAGTGACTCCTGACAAAGTACACTTCTGACAAATGTCTTAAGTTCTCTGTGGAAAAAAAATTCCTCTCATTCCTCTTACATTCTACTATATAGGTGGATTTTGGGGGTGAAGGACAGTGAGGCTTGTAATTTTTTAATTATTGTTGTTTTCTTATCTATTTCCAAATACTTCACTTTTTTGCCTTAATAGCAGGAACAACTCATGTGTCTTTCTGTTCTGTGTATATTATACAGATTGTGTCAAAAATAAGGCTTTTATGTAATTGTTGTTTTAAATGAAAAAAAATGAGATTAAAAAGTTGGATTTTAGATCAGAGATTTCAAGGTAATTTATAAATGTCTAATACACACATTATATAACTGTATAGAAGACAGTAGAAATTATAAATCCTCACAGGGTAGATAATTTTAATTTTCAATAAGAATATTGTTTTTTTAGATTTTGTGCATTCATACACATACTTGCACACATATGCCCTCATATTATGTATTTCTGAGCATTAATTTATGCCACAATACTGACAGAGAAGAAAAATATAATGTATTAATAGCATAGACAATAATTTTATTCCCAAGTTCAGCTACCTAATTCCTGTAGTAAGAACACCAATTCCAGAATGCCTATTGAGAAAATTTACTCTGGTCACAGATTTTTTAATTAAGAGAGGAAAACTTAGGAAGCTGAAGAATTTTCAAGCCCTTCCTTCACATTGTAGGTCTTAGGTTTCTTTGTCTTTTATTTGTATTGTACTTCCTATGAAGCAAGGTTTGAAATTATTTCAATCACATTCTAAACACAAGATTTGAAAGGTCCAATACAGGGCAAGCTTCTCCATATATTTATCAAGTATGACATACTAAAGTTAGACCTTTTATCTTCCCATCATCAACAAGTAAATTTGGAATAAAAAATTCCTGTGTTGAACCAGGTTCTTTAATCCTCTCACATACGAATTGACGAAGAGTGGAATAACTGTTATTTACAGCAACCAGGATTGGTGTTTTCCAGGCACAGAACTTGAGTTCACCCTGAATGCAGACACTGTGTAACTCCTTCCTTTTGTATGCTGGTATGTTAACAACTCTTGTCCTAGCACTGGGGAACATGGGTTTCAAGTACCCCTTACCCTGATGAGATTTGAATCTCCAGCTTCCACATGCCAAGCTATTCCTTTGGCTGTGTTTCAGTCCTCTTTTAGCAGTGACATTTAGAGCTGAGGGCACAATATCCATATATCTTGAAGGAGAGAAAGAAAACTGACTCCATGTAGAATTTAGGGCACTAAATTCACCTGAAGTAGTTCATAGATTCTTTCCTCTTTAGTTCACTTAATGGGTTACCCAGAGTTAGTATAATTTAAAGTACATCGTAGGATCCATTTTTTAAACTGAATGTGAGTCATACTGTCTCAGACCAAACTCAGGAAACAAATTTGACTGATTAAGGATGACATTTTTCTGGATACCAAAGTTCAGGTCCTTAGGTTTACATGTGGATTTGGCAACTCAGAAAATAATTTGTTACTTTCCTATAATATGCAGTTCCAAAGATTTTTCATATGCCAGGGCTTTTCTAAGTTCTCCCTATTGGATGTTCAAATTTTGTAGGAAATTGCCAGTAGGTGGCCCTGACTACTGCAGTGTATCTGGCCTAAGTGCATTGTATCTGTGCAGATGATTATTTGGCAACACCTAAAAATCATTACTGTATTAATGCCAAGTGTAAGACAATTCCAATCTTAAATTATTAACATGTGTGTCATGTAAAAATTAAAAAATTAAAGGTCAAAAAGATTGAAGTCTTAGAGTGATAATCTAATGACGGTATGATACTTTAAATACCTCTGTAATTAATTTGGGTTTCAGTGCCTTCTTTGATGTATTTCTGTTTTCTTTGATAGTCTTGGAGTTGTCCACATTTAACAATTAAAGATTATGGGTCTGATCCATTTCAAAGATGCAGAAAGCTTACAGCTCTTTGGAACTTCTATGAGTGTTAATACTTCCACAAAATCAGGTCCAGGTTTTTCCAAAACACATAGCTCTAATTTAACAAAGCTACCAAGCAAATGCATGTTAATGATACTGGTACACGAGATTCTTGAACACATGATGTTCATAAGTGGAATAGAAAAGTGATAATGCAGTGTTTTAATTCGTAACACAGATTTATTTTTTTTTTTGTAAGAATTAAAAAGCTAGATATTACTTCTAAAAAGCAAGGATATGAGTATGTTCCAAATAAGAAAATAGAATAGAGTTTTCTGGAACATTATAAACAAATTATTGAAGATCATCTGCCCATTTGAAAAAGGCACTATTAACACTAATATGAACAAAAATATTCTAATAGTCTAATAGCATATGTAAGTATAAGGAGGAAAACCTTATTGCTTGCACTTTTATCTTGGCAAAATGTTTGTTTCAGTCAAGTTTCAATAAAGATAAAAAAAATAAATTAAAATGTTTTTTAATAAAACCAATTGTGTTTCAAAAATAATTAAATCAAAAATAGAAACTGCAACTGATGAAAATTATTAAAAATAATTTTGGAAAATAAATGACTGAATTAAAAGTATTCATATTCTTTGCAATCTTTATTATAGCTTATTGTACATTCATCTTCTTTCAACCATTGCTGACACACAGACTCAGACATGAACTTCTAATAGTGGTTTATCCTCTATATTGATTTTCCTTTTAATAGAGAAAAAGATAAAAACACTTTAGTGAATGCATAAATAATTCAAATCATTTTAATTGCAAGTCATATTTATCCATAGAAATATAGTAACACTGGGAAAACTTTTCTGGAAATACAGATAAGAATAAAACTAAATATGCTTTCTTGGGAAATTGTTTCTCATTGGAGAACATATGTGGGAGGTTTAATCTCCAGATGAAGTGCTCTTATGAGGTCACTCACAATGTGTCTTACTCTAGTTATAAATCAGCATCTGTCTTTGAATGAAGGGCTGTAAGGATACCAGTGTAGCTGTGGACTTGGAACCTATACATTTACAAAATGTAAAGGTTAGATAACTGTACTCTTGAACCAGGAAGGCAATACGATAAATTTAGAAAAAAATAAGTAGTTCCCGCTTTAATAAAGGAAACTGATGAACAGTGTAATTATCAGTCTTTTAATATTTGGCACTGATTAAGTAATTCACTGCTTGAGTTTTTTAGTCAGCCCTCACACCCTCATTTGCATAGATATAGTGGCTGTCCATCCAAGATTTTAATTTTCTGGCTTCTTAGCGAGCTGAATGAGAGTTCTTTACATCAAATAAGGATAAATTCTTCTGCCTACATTCTAGTCTGTGGGTGACTAGCAAGACATATGTGACTTTATATTCTTGACCAGGACCTTGCCTTGAACACATTCAGCCTAAGAAGTGGATTTGGTTTGAATAGATTCCCTATATTAAGACAAATAAACAAAAAACATTTGTATTTCAGACTATGAAATAAGCAGCTTTGATACTTTGACTTAGAGCTAAAATTTGAAAGCAATGAGCTCATGGCAAAGCTAGGTAAAATGCCAGTGAGGAGCTATATTTTACAGTTTATGCAAAGTAAATTATAAGTTTAAAAAATACTACAGGTGATGTACCAAACCCCTTAAAAGGTGAATTGGTGATTATCCTATAATTTCAGTTTATAAAGTCAAAACATGAATAAAAATTATGTCACTTTTGATATCTCTGTCCCTACCCCCTGCCATCCCTTTGCAGTTACTGAAAGTTAAATCATCCACAGCGAGCAAATGGACTTGATGTTAAATGGTCTTTGCTGGTTCAAGCGTTCCTGCAGTTTACTAAAAACCTTCTAGCACCTACCATATTCACCTGTCAGTGATGAAAGAAGAATCTTTGAAAGAAAAAAAAAAAAAAGGAATAGCTAGTAACAGAGGTGATAACTCAGTGTTATCTGAAATTATGCTAATGAATAAATTATTTTATAACTGATATATTATCAGTGTTATCTGAAATTTCAAAGAGAAAAACAAAAAATATTTGTACCAAAAAAAAAAAAGAAAAAAGCTTTCAAATGTCACATAAAAGCCCTGAGTTGAAGATGCTAAAATGATACAACTTTAAAAGTTGATGTATGAGGGTAGAAAATAAAAAATTATTCTAATCCATGAACGTCACCATGCAACAATGGTGGTGCCTCTGTGCAATCTTCCAGTTCTGGCATCCTCTTCCTGATGCTTCTAACCGTGTTTGTTATTCAGCAGAATGGTCCCAAAACTGAAGGATCTCCAGAACTGTACATTTCATTTTTTTCCCATAATGCCACTGTTTTATTCTCTATCTTTAGAGGTCTTCTGTGATCCAGAAGTAGGTAGTATTTTCTGAAAAATAATATCATAGATTCAACTGCTTTGGAATCCAAATCAGAAATTGCCATTAAAATGTCCTAAATGTTTTAATAGATCATATCAGTAAAAGACAGATAAGAGTAATAAGATTTCCGTGTGTCGACTCTTGCATATAATGGTGATTTGTTTTTTTAACCTTATATATTGCTAATTAGAATTGTAAGTATAAATGATTGCATATTTTTAATTATTGAGATAACACAATAAGCAATATTCATGGCAGCCATAACAAGTAATTTATGCATAATATATACTTCTACATGAATTTCGTCACAAAGGATAGATTTATTTCCCAATAAAATAAATTTATTCAGAAGGTTGATATTACATCACAAAAGAAAAAACAAACCATAAAGTTAAAACTAATACAAAATTATTTCTTAAATGTATCTGAAGACATTTTAAATAGTTGTACTCTTCATGAAAGTGAAGTAATTGCCTTTTTTCTTTTCCAAGAAGCCATAGGTTCCAAGTTTATCTAGGAAATCTTAAAGAAAATATATTTTAAAATAATGATGAAAGACAGAAGTATCTCTCTTCTTCCCCAGGTAAAGAAATTTCTCAGCTGGATACTACTTTAGATGAGAAATTACAGAGTAAAGGCTTCACATACCAATGGCTTCATGCACAGCTTTTGGATTATGAAGCAGCCAGTTCCAGAAATACGAAGTGGTGAGGTCATCAACTTTAAATTAGATTTTTTTTTATTTTAAATTTGTCTTGTAAAGTGAAACCTAAGTTAATGGTTCTAAAATAAACATGACTTTGCAGTTAGCAGACAGTGCACCATATTTCCAGGTCCCAAATATGGCACCCTTTAGAACTGGCAGTCATTGTATAGATACTTCTTCCACATTGAAATTGAAATTATAAAATGTTCAGAATCTTATAACAAATAACTACTTAGTTTTACTTTAGCAATGCAGTGGGTTTTTGACTGCAAAGAGTGTAGAAAAAGGTGCTTATTCATCATATATTTTATAATGTTATTGATATACGTTATGGTTTTATATAATTAAATCAACTGTAACATTAGCTATATTGTTAGATTTGATTAAGAAAGTTAAAAAAAATACTTTTCTTTTTAGCTAAATAATGTGTATTTCTATTTTGTCTTCAAAATATAAACCCAGTGTTTACATCTTTATACTACATTGTACTAAAATGTTGTAAACGTGTTCCTTCTATGTTCAGTTTTGGTTATTAAGCAGGTAAAATGTCAATACAATTAAGGGAAAGGTTCATGTTGCCTAAACTAACATGAAGACATAGTAAGTATATTTTGGTCATAAATTCAATATAAGGCATTAGTATCTTAATGAAGTCATTAGTAGACACAATGCCAAGCATCTCTAAGAAAACCAAACAAAGTGTCAGTAAGCAAGCAATGGGTTTAGTATATTAATTTTATTATTATTTTCATTTAAAATGTATTTATAATTAAATGGGCTACAAATTGTTCTGTCTTGTGCAGAAAAATATGCCACATATCCTGCTTGTATCAATGACTGTAGAAACTATATGACAGACATATTCCTTAGGAAATATATATCTGACTTTGCAGAAATATTTATCTTTCAGCCATGATCCATAGTAAAGAAATACTCAAAGTGTTTGTTTAAGATAACTTCCATGACTTTTAATTTGAATGAAAACACTGGAATACAACATGTATACAACATAATGATGTTTGAAAGTAAGAAGACACAGAAATTTATAAAAGAATTTTCTTAACTATTACTGTGCTACCTCTGCAGGTGTATGCTATGCAGTAGTATTTGTTCAGACTTTTTTAAGGGTCATTTTTTTAATGTGCCAAAAGTCCAACTGATCTCCATTCAAACTTCATTGGTAGACAAATTCGAACAGCTGACATACTTATTCAACTGAAAACAATTTTATTCCTACAAAAAGTAACATGAAACCTGGCTTTTCTACAATTTATGTGAGCACATACAAAGAGTCATGCTGGTTAGAATGGTTTAACTTAATATTCTATTATTTGAATAAACACTTGTTAATTATTTTTTAAATCAAGTACAAGAAAATTAATAGTAATTGCTCTGATACTTTATCAGTTAATATTAATTTCTCTGATACATCTTAATCATGGAATTGTTTTAAATAATTAAGCAGAATTTTTCCTGCAAAGATTCTGTGCAGGTATTTTAGTGAGGCCAGTACAGTGGGAGTTACTGAAATTTCTATTCTGCATTTTTCCCAGCTGTCATTTTTTGCCTAAGATAGATCCTGCGATATGTGACAATAGACAAGTACAACTTGTGGTAAGAACTTGTTTCTTTGTGGGATTTTGTAGAATTCAGGTAATTCATGTCCGTACCTGGTGTAAAAACAGAAGAATTTTTGGATTAATATTATTTTGTAGTGTTATGTCTGTTTGGCAATCAAGCCATCCCCTGATGGAGATAAGAAGAAAATATTTTAGCACAGAAGCCTATGGAGGTGCATTGGGTTCTAGCTTCATGATCTGACACTGAGTTTGTTTTTAAGACATCAAATGCTACTGTATGTTTTTTAAAGCTTTTAAATCTGCATTTGCAAAAAAGCTAAAAAAGAAAAAAAATATGGTTCAGTGCCAGCTACATTATTTACTGAAAATATGTGTTCTACTCAATTGAACAACTTTAAATATTCTCCAATTCTGTGTATGACATCCCTAAATCATTCTAATATTTTCAATATATTATATTAAATAATATTTAAATAAATAAATAAATAAATAAATAATAGCTTTCAATGTCATTTATTGAAATACAGTGAGTTGGAATTGTTTATTAATATTAACATTATTAAAAACATTGCGTGAAGTCAGACTTATTCCTACAGTTTCTTTTAAAAATTTTTTTAGATCTTAAAATGGTCTCTGCTCTTTTCATGATTCTTTCTTTTTGCAGTATTTTAAAAAAATGGATTTTCTGAAACAGGTAGTCCAGTAAATCAGCAGGAAGGGAAATATGAGCATTTTAACAGTTTGAAGATTTACGAAATTGAAAGACTGTGTCAGAGATGCCCAAAAGTTCCTTTAACAGCAAGCAGTTGTGATACCTACAGGCCAATATATACTCACTCTATTTCTATATGTATAGACTTTACATTTTGGCAAATTAGCAATATCCTTATGGATAAAATTTTGTACTGTTTAAAAAATGGGGCAAAAATTTAGAAGCTTGGCAGAATTAGTATTTTATACTCATATAGATGATGTAAAATACTGCATAAGAAGTACTTCCCAGTTAGATGATGTGTCATATGCCTCATTTGTTCTCTGAGCAATCTTGCCCCTTTCTACCCTCTTCCCTCTTTAGCTTCACAACCTATGCAATTTATATCTTTTGGAAGTGAGTCCATAAAATTCTCAAATATATGGTTCTCATAAAATTAACCTTTGAAGAAAATGTAATCCTTTTAAGCCCTACATGTTACTGTTGCTGTTTTCTTTAAGACAGATTTTGTCAAATATTCTTCTCTGGCAAGTGTGTCCAATTCTTAGGTTCTTCTAAAATTTAAATGGCTGAAATCATGAACCAAATGTCTGTTGTAGGGTTTGATTGCAGCAGCACCAATAGTTATTTGTTAGGTGGAGTCTAAAACAGAAAATTGAGCAAATCATAATTTAATAGTGTTATCTAAATTACATATTATGTAATTATTGGTATGCATATGTGCACATAGGTAGATTGTATGTTATTTACACTAAGCAGTTCTGTCCACAAAATACTGCTGCAATCCCACAATGGTATTATGTGGTGTGCCCACATAACTGGCAAAGTTATGGAATTGTCACAGCCTGTGCCACATAATAACATAGCTGTTCCACATGAATGAAACACAGAGAAAAATGCAATAGAGTGTTCAGAAAATAGAAAATGTAATAAAATGTATCTCTAATGCAGAAAGCAGTACTATACAGGCAGGAAATAATGATGTGGTTTGTACACACAGACGGCTGGAGAATTTTGGTTTTAAAATTTATATGAGTTCTCTCTTAAAGGTTGAGATGTGAACATACTCCTACTGCTTTGGCATAGTAGCTTATTTAAAAGCTATGAAATTATGATAAAAATCAAGTTAACAGCTGCAATCATTATCAAAAAAGTTATTGTAAACTGAAAGTGGAAAATATATATTAAAAGCAAAATGAGAGAGAGAGAACAAGCATAAGAAGAGGAAAACATTCCTTGGCATTTCCAGTAGTTTATTCCAATGCCATATGCTCAATCATGAAGTTTTCTGATGCTCTATACAATCCCTTCTTTTTATATGTTCCATAAGTGTTCCCTGCATTCTGAAAGCTTCATATAATTTTCTAAATTATATTTTTGCACGTTCCAGTAATTTAAGTCTTTCTTTTTCATGCATACAAAATTGTGTTTCAATGGTTGCATATAAAGAGTAAAGCCTTCTCACTGGGGATTATTGCTTTGTAGTAACCTGCAGTAAATCTTAGACCTTATTATGTTAATCTTGGTCATTTTGGTGATTTTTCTCACTAGTAATACCATAGCAGTGCTCAGGAAGGCATGCTGACTTACAGTTTAAACTATTTTAAATTAATATGATTTTGTGGAATGGCAGGTCGGATAGACTTATTGATTCTTTTTTTATAAAGTTTAAGTTACCTACAGGGTTAAACCCTTTCACTATTGATCAGTCTGTCCAATCATTTAGGTGCAACTTGAATTCAAAACACCTTTTATCTCTGAAGGTTATGGAACTTCTTGATAATTTTACCTAGAAATAGACAAATATACAAATGCAAAGCTGTCTTCAAGGCAAAGATTCCTCCTGATTGATATTAATTTTCAATTAATTAATAAGAAAGGTTTGTGGTAATAAAAAAAATAGCAAAAAGTGTGAAGAGTTAACTGTGATGATCACGACAGATGGAAGTCCAATGCTAAGGACTGCAAAAAGCTGCCAGTATCCTAAATTTCTTCCAAATTTTGGTTCTAAGTCATAAATGAAAATGGGAAGGTTTTAATTAACTTCAGAGGACTTTCAGTCAGCTTCTTTAAAAGGCCAGAATTAAGTTTGCTTCAGTAATTAATACAACCTAAAATATTACTCTGACTGTAATTGAGTGAAAACACTTATCTTTATTTGAAATAAAATAACAAATATTTTACATCAGAGATCAAGACAGCCTTATTAAAATCTAGCATATAACCTGAATATTATCTACAAGATGATGAAGCCTTAGTTTCTAGGATGGTAGGGATTGGATAATAAAATCATGGAAAGGCTAGATGTATAAAATTCTGTGGTCTCCTGGGTCTTTGGGAATTGAGACATTAAAAAACTTCTTTTGTGTGTTGAAAAAGGTTAGATAGAAATAAGAATGATCAGTTCCCTTGGTTTGAATCTCTTTGAGCATCACAATCATTGGATTATTTCTACTAGTGAAAGACTAAAAGCTTTTAGTTTAAAGATTTTGAACATAGAAAGCTCTCACAAGCTTAAAGCAACTGTAAATATTAAGGCCAGAAAAAAGAGAAATAATTGGCAGGGTAAAACTTTTTTTTTCAAAGTTTCTTGGCTCTGCTATGGAAGAGAAAATAAAATATTGATGTTTACAGCAATAATAAAGACTAGCTGTGCAAAGCAAAACTTTAAATTCCTCATCATTAAACATATAAAAGTAAGCATCAGCAAACAAGGGATAAACTTTCTGTGCAGACACAAAGGGTATACAATCACTAAGGAAGAGTGTAAAATCTCTGTATCTTTAGGGTTTTTGGTTTGAAAATGCATGGACTTTTTAATGAATTTTACATTAAACAGTGACTGAGTAAAGACAAGGAAATGAACCAGGTCTCCATTTCATCTGAGTTCTCTCAGTTAGACTGGACTACAAAGCCTGTCTGCACTGGTGTGGTGCTGCTTTTGGTACAGTGAGGTAGTTTGAACAGGAAGTCTGGAAATTGTCTCCTCCAGAATGGCCTACAACTTCATGGTAACAGCACTTTCCTGAGAAAAAGGGAGCTGTGGGCTTTAGCCCCCTGAAGAAGGAGTTGAGACCCAGTCTCTTGATACCTGGTTGAGCAGTCTTGCTACTACAGTGTTAGGCAAAAGTTTAGTTACGTTACCACTAGCAGAGTCTTTCCTTTTCTATAGTTTGTTTTTATGTTAAAAAAGAAATACCCAGTTAAACACCTAGCTCTTCACCCCAACAAGGGGAAAGACTTAGTCTACTTTTCTGGACTTCACTTCTGAAGGTCCAGAGACAAGAGAAGTATACCCTTACATTAAGTACTTCCAGTTGTCTGACTCTACAGTTTGGATTTTGTAGATTGTTCATCAGCAGTGTCTGATTTTTCTCCATCATTTTTACTGGCCCTCAGTATCTAGTTATTGTTAGAGGCTGCTTTTGGTGCTGAATAGCTTTTCATTACCTTCTTCAGTAAATGTGAAGTTGTTTCTGCAAAAATAACAATCTTCAATTTACAGTGGGTGGTATCTTCCAGGTCAGTTTTTAAACTTTGCCCTGCATGTTCCCAAACAGCATTGCTAAAATGAAATATGATTTTCATTTTTCTTTTGGCATATTTGTGTGCAGGTAACATGCCTCATGCCAAAACATGCCACCGCTGGATGTTAGAAGTTTATAATTAATATAATACTCTTGCCTAAAGTATAATTAAAATGCTGTCTGATGGTTATGGTTAATTAGCAAAAAACCTAAAAGATTAAATTACTCACTGGGCCCGTGACTGATTGAAGTGTCCTGGATAAAGCATAAATATTGCAGGAAATAATCCAATATGACATCTCTGACATTCAACTATAACTTAAATTATAGACTGGTCAGTAAATGATCTTAAGCTGTTTAAGGTTTCATCAGCCCTCTGCTAGATTGATTTTCTTCAAAATTACTGTACTAAAATGTTTTCTTTTGTTGTTGCATTGACTCAGATCACAAACCACAATTTTAAGATCGGCTCTTATTTACAAAAATGCTTTGACATAGTGCATTTGTTCAGCCTAGGCAACAAAAAAGGATTGTGGTATCATTTTGAAGAAGGTTGTTTGACAGACCCTGTTTGTTTATTTGGAGTAATGTGAGCTACATTCAGAAAATGTTATATTTTGTTTCATGATTGTGTACATTCTCTCCCACTGCTTCCAGGCAAGCCCTGTAAGCAGAGAAGACATGGATTTAGACCTTGTTTCCATGGCCGGTGGAAGTGCTTTGACTGAGAACAGAGAAAAAAATAAGCCGCCACACAGACACTCAGCAAGATCCTCAAGTAAGTTATGGTTCTTCTCAATATCAGTATTAAAGATCACTTTAAAATGCTAAGTAGAACTGAACATGCTTGGAATCCTTAATAACACATGCTGCTTATCTTTCTGTTTCTTTTTTTATCTAAAGCCTTTTCATACATTTGCTAGAGTTCTGTTTAAAAACTTTAATATCAATAGACTTTCCTCTTGTGATTTTAATGGGAAGTTCCTTGTGATTGTATTGTAGCTCCTCTCATGTCTGAGTCCTGAGAAATTTTCTTTTCCCTAAAGTATGAAAAAGATTTTTTTTTAATCTTTCTCTATTTTTTTTTTTTCCCAAAAGAGCTTTGGAAAATGCATGTTTTGTTACCTGAGCCCCAAAACACATATCACAAATCACGGCACAGATTTCTGCCATGTTGATTACCAGTTATGCTGTAGTATATGATCCCACTGAACTTATTATACTCAGTAGTAGAGGATCCTTTGAAAGCCTTATAGTTTTATCACTCTAATACCGTGGAAGGTAACAAAAGAATCTATAGAGAGAAAAAAAAATAATGCTTGAATGTTATAAAATTATAGAATATTAAGTTTCATGTCTTATTTTGTGTAATATAACTGAAGAAATGCTGATTCTGATAATATAATGTACTATTTTTTTCAAATAAAGAAAAACATAAACCTCCCAAAAGCACATTACAGAAAACATAAGTTGTATAAAGTAACTTCTGGAAAATTATCAAAATTCCTAAAATTTTTTAAGTAGAGAAGTTTCTTCATTCTTGAAATGTTGTCAAAATAGGAATTGGGTACGTCATATAATTTATTTATATAAATTGCTGGATTTACTTTTTGATTATGTTTTCATATATGCTGAATTTCCACTTTCAATAAAAAAAATAAAATTCAAGAAAAACATGTAAAAATACTTGAAATCTCTATTTTCCTGACATACTTTGTAAAGGCTTTAGAATAAAGATTTATTTACATTACTTCACCACAAGCAAAAATTAATGGTGACTCAATATGTTTGTGCTTATTCATTTGATTTACATTCCTAAAATTAGATTACATAAAATTCATCATAATAGTTTAATTGTACCAATGGAGAAAGAACATAATTCTGTCTTTGTGCCTGCCATCTTAGAAAAGAAAAAATTATGTCTTTAGTTTTCTTGTTTTTCTCCATTGGCTGGTGATGACATTGAAATTAGACGAGATTCCTAACTTCTGAGATCTTGAATTTAGGTGAGACAACTCTAAATTACTGATGTCAATTACAAAATTATCATTATATTCATACATCCAGAATAGAATGTGTCCATATCTTGAATAATTGGGTTAAACAGTATCCACTTCATTCATATTAGTGTATAACTTAGACTGTAATCTATACTGTAACTCCATTCAAAAATAAATTAATATGAACTCTTTCGACATGTAGAACTTACCTGTGTGGATCTTGGAAAGAGATTTTTCTTTGGAAAAGAAAAAAGTGTCATTGCATTAGACCTTCAAGAAGGAGTGATTAGGAAAGGAGCAGGAAAGAACAACCAACAGGCAGAGTCATAAATGTGGGGGGGCTGCGGTACAGAGAGGGAGAGAGTTTACAATGTCTGCTAATATTGGTATACTTTCAAAAAACACACCTCTACTACACCATACCTATGTATTCATTCTTATTTCAGTAGTCCAGGAACTAAGGAAAAAAAAAGCCCAGACCTTATGTCTTTTTAAATATGTTTCTGCATATTTGCTTTTCAATGATCAGAATAAATCATTAGCCCCATGACATCCTGAATCTGAAAACACTGTAAATTTACCTTTACTGAGAATGTATTTGTTATGAAATGCTTTCTTGTTCTATAGTCTCTCTTGGTTTTGCCTTCTGAAATATTAAATGAAGATGCCTAGGAACTGTTTCAGTGCTTTAGTAGGCATGTTCCCTTTGATTTAACCTGCAGTTGTATTGCAGGCTATTATAAACATGCTGTGACCTTAGATGTGCTGTCATTTTAATAAATTCTTAAATCAAGTTCTTGTGCCATGTTTTCAGGAGATCTCAACCTCAATGATTTGACAAGCGAGATCTCAACCTCAATGATTTGACAAGCTTTAATTAATAAAGTGTCACTGAGTTCACTTTCCAACATCCATGGTTGTGGTTGCTCCTCAGAATTCAATTATTGTTAGGGATCAAGAGCTGGTTTTTGGGTGTATCATACATGTTCCTTATATGTAACTTGTAATTTAGAAATTGTATCAATAAATTGTTGAGATCTTACAGGCTGAAAAGTCTAGAAATACAAAATAATGGATTCTTAAATATATTTACTAAAAAAACGCTCTCAAATTCATGTGATACTGATATAAAATACCTTTCATATGTATAGGGATATATGAATTATCATGTGTTTTTTAAGGCAAAACATACAACACTTAAAAGTTATTAACTTTTAATTCACAGGGGATTTTAAAAAGTGAAGATCTTAAGAAATATTTCTGTGAACTTCCCAACTTTTATGTTTTTTTCTGTAGATCTTTTTTTCCAAAGGCAGGTTCTTTGAATTCTGGATTAAGCAATTTTAAGTTTTTTTAAAAGCCAAATTTCCTATTTTTTCTGAAAAATTTGTATGGGATAGATTAATCCTAAACTAACTTAATTCTGTGCCTTGACAAAGCTAAATTAATTTAGTAATAAAAGGAATGCTTTTAACATAGTATATCTCAGTTTAAGGAAAGTGTTTGTTTACTTAAAAGTATTTGATTTGCTTCCCTGTTACATGTTCAAACGGAAAACTAACTGTTCATTAAATTGGCCAAATGTTTTAAAAAAAATGTATAACCTAAAGAAAGAGTAGCCATTGTTCAGCTGGAGTAAATAGTTATCTGTCTAATTTCAGATTTTGCTTCTGGCAATGGCCAGTACATTATGATCTAAGAACATACTTATATTATGTTCTAGAAGGAATATAATATTCCTTCATAGTGACTGCTTTTTTTCTCCCTTGTAACTAGCTTTTCTTTTCTATTTCTTGATGTTACTTTTTTGAGGTGAGGCTGGTTGGGAGGCAGGCGGGTCTGACCATTCTTTACCATTTTTATTAACTTCATAAACATTGGTGTGAATTTCTGGTTGCATTTTTTGTTTTAATACTTTCCTGAACAGTAGAATTGTAGTCAGCATTAAGATGCAAGATGAGCATGGAAATATTTTGCAAGAGTTAGAAGTTTAGCATTTTTATACCCAGATAGAAAGCATGGTTCTTTGTGTATCCTAATATCCAATTTGTGAGTAGGCTATGACAATCAACTACCTTCTGTCATCCTGATCTGTTTCTGGCCAATGTTGGACATATAAATGAGTCTCCTACATATTTACATTGTCTAACTGTCATCACAATTTTGGGGTTTTCTTTTCTCTGCAAATTTAAACTTTATGTTCATTATATTTGCCTTGGGAACTGCAGTCTTCTGACCAAAATTTGAAAGGGAAATGCAATGGGAGCTGTTGCATCTGCTACTTAAAATACTGCTCAGAATTCTTAATTATTTTCCTACCTGAATTCTAGTTTTTCAGGAAGCCTCTGATATCAGTGAAACTGCTTTCCAGGAAAAAAAAAAATCGATTAATTAGAAACTGAACCTTGTCATTCCTTTGTTACCCTTAGTTCAAAAAGTAGGCCCATGTATATCTCTGGTAAAAAACATTTGTCAGTTCTTGTTCTCCACTAAACAAAACTTTATATTCTGTTAGTCAGTGAAAATGAATTAATGAAGTTTAATTATGCCTTTCTTACAGTGTAAA